TGGCTGGACGTTTACAAAAAACCAATATCCTGTGAAGTGAAGTTGAAATAAATAGAAATTTGGTCTGCACTTATATTAAATGATTCGTTCACAAAGAAATCCATTGCATAATAATCACCGACTGCTAGAGCTGGCAATCTTTTTTTAAATCAAGCTGCATAAGGTGCATAAAAAAGTACTTGCAAGCAACGCAAATAAACTCTGCAAAGTTTTCAAAAAACAGAGCCCTATTGTTAGAAACCCTAGAGTATTTCATAGTAGTACTTCAGTTGCTTTGGTCTAGTGTCCTAATTATCCGCTCATATGTAAACGAACATCACTGTATTTTTTTTACGAGCCCACCTTTTGTCGCAGTGCTAAAAGTGATTGGTTTAGAGGGTGCCGCACAGAATTCGTCTGTCGCACAGGTTAAGACCCTGGCCGAATAGGACATATCCGTCTGCAGGTTTCCAATTTCGCAGATCTGTTTGCCATTGTGAGAAATTGCTTCACAAGCCACTGTCCGCTCTGGAATTCCAGGATGGTCTGGTGCCGTCAAAGAAACCCAGTATTCGAGGGCATCGGCACTGCCTCCTTGCGTTCTTGTCCACGTCAGTGTGAAGGATGTTGCTTTGCCATTCAAAGCTTGAATATCGGTAGGCGAGCTCACAGTGACTTCAGAGGAAAAAAGACAAAGAAATAGGTGACTCTCGAGTAAACAGCAAAGGCGAAATGCATAAGTGCTCTGTTTCTAACATGTAGATGCGTCTTTGGAGAGTACTTTATAAATACTTTGAAAGCTCCTGTTTATTAGAAGATATCATTCATTCGCAAGAAGACCAAAAATTAAGCAAGCAATTACGGCAATTTGAAGTTTTGAAGCGAAAATGGGCGTTGTCAGAAATAAATGGATATAAGAGGCAATCTCGGGAAGCATACTTGTTCTGTCCTGAAGTTTCGAAAGCAGCCAAGTTTTCCATGGTCAAAGGTAAATACGAAACAGCAGACAGGTTTTATAATCCCAACTCTTCGTAACAAACCGAAACCGAAAGACCCCCTGCCACGGCCAGAAACATCTGGAGTTGTCCACAGGATCTGGTGAAGCTGCGGGCAAAGCAACTATGTCGGAGAAACTGGCATACTTCTCCAGACGCGAATTGCTGAACACGCGGGAGCATTTCGGCAAAACGATGTCAGTTCTCAAGTTGCGGCGCATTCGAAAAGACTCGGCCACACATTCAAATGTTATGGGGCCGAAATTCTCGCAAGAGGTGACAATCGAGAGAGCCGAGCATTACTTGAATCATGATTTATGGGCCCCCAATCCATCAAAAAGTGCAACGATTTGCCCAATCCATGTTCAGTGGCGAGACTTAATTTGGCCAAAGAAAGTCGTCAACCCTTTCTAAAAACAGCTATGGTAATTACCAGTGAATACATAGTCGCCCAGATTATGGGTAAGTAACGAATAGTACGATGATCACGATTTCATTTGATTTGCCTCCATGCGATTTGTGACTAGTAGAGTGTCTCTACTCAGTGAGTGATGAATCCGCAAACGATTGGTTGGTAAAAAAGAGGATTTACTAAATTCCCTAAATAATGATGTTTGGGCTGTGTCCAGACGGCGATAACGACTGTACTGATCCGCTATTCCAACCCTTCACTTTCCATTTATTCTTTTTCATCTTTTAAAACAACTGCATACGTCGATATGTAGAATATGGACCTTATTATAGCGCAGACTGCAGATGGGACTAAAATATAGTCGCATTTTCAGCAAAAAACCAGTAGTTTCTGCACTGGCTTTGAAAATTATTCGCATTAATTCAAATAAAAATTGCTGTACTCTTTCAAGCTATGACCAAATTTCACAATGGACGGAGTTTAAGCCATTATACCACGGATTACTTAGCAGGTATCGTGATCAACCAAATTTCACGAATTCATCAGTGATTGTGTGTGTGTGTGTTAATTACGCTAACCCTCTGGAATTCATACAGAGTTATTTCATTATGTGTCTGAGGAAACCAAAGGAAGGAACTTTTTAGTCCCACCTTTGTCGGAATTCTGTGCACTTCGCTTGCTTATGCGATGCACTGCAAAATATGCACACGAATGCCTTTATGCCTATTTTAACCTGCCTAGTGCATTAACCTGTGTGGTATTTTAATTTAGACGCATCGTTGCTCTTCTGTGTGCATCTGTCTGTAAGTGTATCTCTTTCCGCAAAACATGAGCACGACTTACCAGGCTTTGGCGTCCTTAGACGGAATTGTTCTGTTAGATAGGAGCAATGAGCCTCGGAGCTGCAGCTTTTGCTCACAATCTTGTACTCCGTATCTGGTCTGAGGTTTTGCAGAGTACATTCCGGTTGCTTCGGATGGCCGTTATAGCACTGTTGCTCACCCAGGGTGCTGTCAACCGGCACCGCGTAAACGTAAGTGTATACCCCTGAGTGCATTTCATTATAGGGTTGGTGCCATGTGAGGTGCGCTGACGTTTGTGAGAGTCGAGTCACCCGGAATGACTCGCCAGCTACATTAAAGTTGTATACATAGTTTTAAAACAAATGTTCGGTATATGAACTTACTAAGTAACTAACCTATTAACTAAATACAATAAGTTTGAAAAAAGTATTAGCTGCAGGTTTTAAAAAAGGCCAACGCAGTAAAGTTTGTGCACGCTGTTAAATGCCAGCACCGCGTGAATTGGGACACAACTGAAGTGACTTCGGACAATGAATCCAACCCAAGCAGCCACCATCTTTTCGATCTGTATGCACATGACGAAGGTCGGTGTGCCCGGCTAACAAACCTATGCCCACCAGGGCAGATCAGGTTTAAGCTCACCTGAACCGCAATGAGAATCTATCATTCGCATCCTCTGTTCCGGCGTCTAAGCAAAACCGCTCTTTCCTCCCCCCTGCTATCTCCCTTCAAGGACAACCGTTTTCGCTCTTTGCCCCAAACATTCTAGGTTGTTAATCCCATCCTCCAATGGTCCTTTCTTTAAAAATAGGTTGATAGAGCCAGTGTGAAGGTTTACGATTACGGCCTGCGTTTTTCTTTACTCATTAGATTATCTCAGAATGTGCGTTGCCCTAATTATTCGAGATATTGATACTGATTTGTATAATTCGTATACATAGATGGAGAGGTAGCGGAAAAGTCAAGGCAGGCCAGAATGCTCGCTTCTGCGTTATTGGCCATCATCAGTCAGTTATTCCTGTGTACTATTGATTTTAGCTACTTTGTTGGCATATTTACTTAATTTTGCGCCCAGCAACGACGACGACCGAATACCCACTAATTGTCCGCGTTCTTGATTTTCATTGATATTTGACTGCTATAGATTACTGATCGGTAAAACCTTAGAAAAAATTTATATTCATTAAATAATGTAAGACCGTTGCTTACGTTTGAATAATGTCGTTAGACTGGCGCTAGATAAGGCGGTACAGGTAGCTGCACTGCAGCATTATAAAATAAACTGAACTTGCGAGTCATATGTAACTATCGTGATGCTTCTCAATTCGGCGAAAGCAGTTTCAGTGACATATAAAAGAAGTTGCCTATGTTTTATCTTCTTTGACTTAGAAAAAAACTTATATTCATTAAATAATGGAAGACCGTTTCTCACGTTTGAAATTTGTTATTATACGGGCGTTAGATATGCCGGTGCAGGTGGTTGCGTTGCACACATTCAAGTTCACATTATGTAAATCTGAATTCCCAATTTCATGGAATGTCCAATCGTACACTTCTTTTCCGACGTTTAGTTGCTTTTTATGAGGATTTCTTCCGATATAATCGGCGATGCGCAATTCGTACTCGTTGAAGCCATCGTTTGTGACATTTCTTTTCGTACGCCAACTGACGAATACACTCTCAGAGTCGGTTCCCACAGCGTAGATCCTATCATTTTCTGGCAAAAAGGTAATTACACGAACAAATTAACATGTTTGTATGTATAATTAATAATAATTAAATATAATAATTACGTATAATACTTATAAAGTATACTTATAAAGTATTAAGTAGAATAATTATTCACAATATAGTACTTAATATGTATTTCTTGATTTATTCCCAGGCCAATCTGCTTTCCTTTTCTAAGTTACTGAAGATTGTTTTTACCTTACACTGTTCGCATTTAAGTAAAGCATACATAAAAGCAAGATAGTACTTTAAACTTATCCATTCCGGACAGTCAGCAAGTCTAATGTTCTTGTGACGAGGTTTTTTTATTAGTTTTCAAAATCTTTTCAATCGTTATTGACTGTACCCTTGACGAGGTAAGTATAAGGATATAGGCAAATAATGCACCTCAGTGTTTTTTGACATTCTGCGCAGTCCCTTATTTAAGAAGCTTGAAATTTCTCATTGAGGGCTACAACATCGGTGTGAGGCGAACTACTTCGGAAGTATTTTATCCGTCTGCTTTGATGTAGCCTAAACATTTGCCAAGGGAATCTTTGCCTCTTTCAACGACTAAGCAGAATATATATTTAGCGTGGAACCTTACTTTGAAAATAGGAATACGTTTTCTTATATTATTAGAAAAATTAATGTTTTAAAATGAGAATAAATTGACTGAGCACCTACCACGTGCCATTTTAGACTAATTTGGCTAGGAAAGTGTGTTTGGTTACCCGTTTCAAATTTACTGTCGTACAGGACACGTAACAGAAATTTTTACCTAGGGGGGGGGTAAAAGTTTAAAAACACATAATACAGAGGTTCTCTCAGGGGTCTTCTGTTTGTCTTACCTCCCGGATAGGTGTCGACAACAACGGGAGTGCCCTCCGAGCAGAGATGACTACCAAGATGACAGGAAAATACGCGGAAGTTGTAGTTTGTGCCCTCCGCAAGTTTTGGCACTGAGCAGATGGTGTATTCGAGTGGCGGAGAGAAGGTACAACCGGTAGAGTAACTTTTAAATCTATTGACTGGTTCAAGGCGGGCTATGTAATAGTACCGTCCCGATTTTCGTTCTTCATCTGGCGTAAGGAAGGCTATATCCAGACTGTCAGGGTGTTTTTCGTTAAGGTCCTGGCCGAATGGCGCTATAGAAAAGAAGACATTGGGGTTAATTCTGGACAAAGAGTATTTAGTTGTCAACATGAAATCTTCGTACTTGATAACTTTAATAAAATCAGTATGGTGTGCTGGTGCTGTAGCATCTGTGGGATTTTCGTATGTGCTAAAATGGGGACGCATTTATGAGAATTTGCCAATTCTACTTAAAAGGGGACCCAATGGTGTGGATATTAAATGCACTTTCTTCCACTTTGAGGCCCCTCCGGCAATGTAGCAAATAAATACTGAAATCCTAAAATCTACTGTTGTAATCGTTCTGTTTTCCAGCTTTGGATGCCAAAGATTTGAACAATTTTTTGTTCAAGACGTCTATCTATATGATTTATCGTCAAAAAACAGCCGTCTAGTTAAAAACTTCCAAAATTGTAGATACTATTTTTAAATAAACATTTTGACAGGTTACTCGCGCTGTGAGTAACTGAACCTTTCAGAAAAGTGCACAAAAATAAAATAAAATATGATTGCAAAACATGGAAATGCACGTATTGTTTTCAATTTTATCGATAAATTCTACTTCTACAAATATTCATAGGCCAAAACGCATCTCCTTGGCTATATGATTCGGTTCCACCTGGGAGGTCAGATCTAGTGAAAACGTCTTGTTAAATTGTAAGACCTTGAAATCATGTTTACTCCAAGACGCTGTGCCGACGTCCGCATTACCACGGCTATTACTTTTATTTTGGCAATTGTCAAGCACAGGTTGCGCGACTTTTTGCATTCTTTCCCAAATGCCCTGCTGGAAGTGAAATTTAAAAAAGTTGCCGCACAAATATATGTGCATTTTACATTCATCTGCCATTTAATTGATCAGAACAGGTGGGAGGGAGGGGGGCAAAATGATTTCGTCGACTCACGATTAGGCAAGGTTTCTGCACTGACTGGAAGGCTTGAATCACTGCAGAAGTTTTCAGAGGTGCACGCGGACACCGAAACTTCATAGTTCCAACCAGCTTTGAGATTGGTAAGTTGGCAAGATTGGAAGCTGCCTGCCGGCTGTGGACTGCATGTGTGGCCTTGATGACCGTTTGCCTGTACCGCTCGTACTTTGTACTGATAGTGTCCATTTGGATCCTCCAGCGCGTGATACCATGACACTGTGAAGGTGGTGGTTGTCCGATGCGAGACACTCACGTAACGTGGGACTGAAGCAAATGCAAATCATGATAATAGTAATAGCCTAAACAGTAATGACAATGACATTACAAGATGTTCTGTCGCTGAAACACCCTACAGCAAAATCAGCCGTACTGTACTAAGTTCATGTCTTGTCTAATTCACTGTTTACGATCATTTCTTTATGTAGCTGGATCTGTTAGGAGTACTTGAGTACCTGAGTCCTACTCAGCATAAAGATAATAAATTATTTTTGCTTTTGACAATAAAGAGACAGCCCTCACAGCATATATAGTTGTGTGGCTTTGAAGGTGTGCGCTGAGGAGGGCTAAGTTTGTTCGAAATCAACGTAACCGAAAACGTTCTGGATACTAATACCGGTTGTCCGAGTACTCTTTTAAGTAATTTAAAGTGTCTGAATGCTAATGCATAGGTTTTCTAGAAGTGCTAAGACTATGTGCTCGAGCTAGCCTAGGCAGCTATATTCTTCTCATAAGTAAGGCAGATTTGTTTGAGATGTACCAGTTTCATGGATTGCCAACAGTTTGGGGATGAAAACAAATACTGATTTTGATTCAGAATATATATGTATGTTTACACAAAGATGTCGTGCTCATCATCCCCGGAAGAGGAAGAAGAAGAGGGGGCAAGTTCTGGGATTAAATTGTATTTATTATACTATATTATTTATTTGAATGATACTTACTACCAAATCTGACATAATACAACAGCAAGGTAATCACTTTTTGATATTTTATTGACTTCGACAAACGGCACTTTTGTTACCGATGTTCGCTAAAGTCATTTACTGGCATTCTATCCTGTAACAGTAGACAGGATTATATATGTCTGTCTCGAACAAAGATAATTGTATATATAATTGTACACATCAGAAAAAAATAGCGAAAAAGGAATTGAATCTTACCGCCGGGCATTGTACGGATAGCATGCTCTTTGCCATAGGCAGAACAATCACTACCTAGTGGGCAGGACTCTACGACAACCGTGTAGGTAGAGTTAGGCCGAAGTTCTGTAATCTCACAGGAAAGCACGTTGTTTTCTGAAGTGAGCACACAACTCTTTCGACTGCCATCCTTCCGAATAGCGGACGCTCTAAATGCGACCGTCAATCCTTGAGGAGGCTTCATTTTGATGGAGATACCGTAACTGTGCCCGACGGCTTCAAATTCTGTGTTAAGAAAACGCAATTTTAAGAGTTTTAAGATTTTGCTGATGAACTTAGGAAACAATTAATAGCTTTAATGTCTGTACTGTAACAAAGCTGGCCTTCTCTTGTGACAGGAGGTTCATGGATTTGTGCAGACATGTTACTTTTCTGTTCAAACTCATTGTCATACCGTGTTTTTTGCAAAAGGTTTTCACAAATAGGAAAGTTTAAATTCTGACCTACTGCAAAAATTTATATGCGAGCAGCTGTTTGAGTTCTAACCGACAAAGCCTTCAGTATTTTTATTTTACGAATAAAACCACAGTAATAAATAGGGATAAGCACCTTCAGGTACATCATAAGGATGAAGTTGCTGCAATACCAGCTATGCAAACTTAAAAAAATTATTGTGTCCTTGCCACTTGCAAGACCGATGTTTATATTTTCACTTAGATATATTTTTAGATAGGTTTACACTCACCTTCACCATTCCTGTTTGAAACAACATGAACCCTTCCCGTGGGGCTTTCCGAATTCGCTCTACATAGGAAGTTTGAAACATGTTTCAAGTGACGAACGTTATTTTATCTTACAACAACAAGCAGTACAATCAAAACACCCAGAACTTCTTTAAAAATGACTATCTAAAAATACTGTGTTGATTGAAGCCCTTACTCTAGTGACCTTTCTCAGAAATGATCAAACCGTCTCAACGTGCCTAGTGGTTATTGGCGAAACTTTGTAGATATTCGAAAATCCGCGATTTGGCTATGCTAGCGAAAGGACTTAAACGGCTTCAAAACATTTATGTCAATAGATTTTCATTCGCTGAAAAACGTGTCATGCTTTGGGTGGAAACTTCCCAACATGGCATCACCAAGGCTGCCTGTGGGACATTTGAGTCGAAACTAGTATCCTTGTTTTAAAAAAGGCTGAAAAAGGCAGTTTGTTATGATCAAATACAATAATTCATAATATCAGCTTAGCTCACATTCCACGAGCCACTATACAGATGTGAAAACACAAATATAAAGAATAATGAAGTATACAGCGGTCAAACAACTAGTAGTGAGGCACATTTTAGTTAACAATCGATACTAGTCCTCACTTTGAAGTGTTTAACAAACGTTTTACCAACGGAAATAAAATTTATCAGAGCGTTTCCTAACGCAATGCGAACGGATTGTGTTCGCAGTTTATAACATTTTGCAATAAGTGAACCAGGCATGCTTAAACTATGTGTAAAATATCCCTTTCAGTATCGATATATGGTTACCGGTAGTAGAGCAAATATATTTGACTACAGTAGTTCAGATGTCTACCCATTAAACATAGTTTTATTGGTCTAACACAAAACTGAGATTATATACGAAAGGTTCTTCCCGATAATTTTCAGCCAGACGTCTGGGTCAGTAAACACCGAACGGTCAACTGATATTTTCAGGAGGCTCCGTACACACGTATTTTTGTACTTAAGAATGATTATCATCTATTTCCTGTACATTTTGCTTTATAAAACACCAGTTGCGATTATTCAGTAAAATTGAGTACGTATTCAAGATTACTGTACAACTGAACTGCAAAATAACACTTGTTGACAGTTGAAAGGAAGAGAGTAAAAACTTTTAGTTTATATAGATGTTTGTTATATATAAAACTTTACAGGCTCCCGTTTGGTAGAAGCGATAATAAAAAATTTCTTTAATAACTCAAAGTTTCCTTTAGACGTACCTAGCTGTCAACTTGATATACTCGACATGATCATATATAGATTCTCCTTTGCGCGCACTGGCTGTAAAATTGAACATGATAACAAGAAGTTGAAAACACTACTCAACTGACTGATTCCCATTATTCAATTTAAAATTTTTTCACTTTGACTTTTTAATTAATTTAAAAGTTACTATAATTAATTACTAATACGACCAATAACTCCTTAAGACAGTATCAATTGCTAAAATATGTGAAGAACGTAGTGGTATCAATAACTCGATAAACGTTCTACCGTTATAGGCAATTCATGTGCACTTTGTAATATTTTAATATTTAATTACCGGCGCAAACACCGCAAAGAACTTGTAATCCAACCCAAAACACCCAATGCATTTTCAGATATTCCGCCTCGTGTAAACTGTCAATGACCCTTGTGTCATTTATATAGACAAACGAATGTGACGTCAATCACTGGTTTAGAAAAGAATGGAGTCAAAAATATGTATGAACATTGACGAATAGGTCCCACGGAGCCATACTCAATACTATGCGACCATGTTGTCTATGGGATGGCAGATAATAATGATGTGTGGAATGGTGGCTTAAGTTTTTTAAAACATTTAAGTAACTAACGACAAAATCGTCAGTGTAAGTTTTGGACAATATTGTAGTTGAATATAAGGCTATCCAGGGGCAAAAGGAATTTCTGATCAAAATTCGATAAATATTCTAGCAATATTTATGGAACCATACGGCCATTTTGTCGGTTTAACCGTTGCGAGGACCGCAAAAACGAATACAGGATGTCCCAAAAAATGTATACACACTTCAAATAATTGTAGACTTGTGGTTGGTGGACAGATGAAGTGTTCTCGTTGTCACGGTGGGGAGGAGGGGG